GGCAAGGATCCATGCTGTTATCCAAGGTGACCTGTGAGTGTAGAGTGCCTGTGGGATGAGTGTGAGTGCTACACATTTGCAGCAAGCATCAAGCTGGACCAGCCAGCAAGTAGGTGGCCCCTGAGGCAGGCAGGAAGAGGGCTGGGATCAGGGCAGGGGTACTGGGCAGACAGAGGGGCCGCGAATGTGCATGTGCTTGTGCATCCAGAGAGTCTTGTGTGTGTGCTTGCACTAGTGACCTTTTGTCTCTGCCAGCCCAAGAGGAGGAGGGGACGTGGCTGCCTGTGCTTGTGTTAAATGTTGGTCCTGTGTGTAGGTACCGTTGAAGGCAGTGCCTCATCTGTGGCAGCGCATGTGACCGGCCAAGTCAGTGTCCTCTGTGTGTGTCTCTAGGACACGTGCTCAGCTTCGCTACTGGCTGAACCTGAAAATAGGAAGGTGGCATGCATGTCCCTCTGCCTGGGCAGAGACCCCGGGTCCCCCAGCACCAGCCTGGGCTCCAGCAGCTGGGCAGGAGAGGTCCTGGGCCAGAGCTGCAAGAGGTGACGGCCACTCCTAACATCCCTTAACATTTTTTAGCCATAAAAAGACTTCTTCTTTTCCCTCTATGGTGGCTTAATTTACTTAAGACTTTTTGATGAGGAACCTTGTGGAATGTTTTCAGTAATCCAAGTAACCTGAAGATCAGCTGTATTCCCCCATCTTCATGCCTGCTGACTCCTTAGGAGGTCTCCAGTAGTTCTGTGAGCCCTGACTTCTCTTTACAAAAATCATACTTCCCAATATATCATATATTCCAAATCTGTCTGCATTATTGTAGTTTCCACTATTTGCAACATGCAGAGGCGAGGTTTATCAGTCTGCAGTTTTCTGGATTTTCATCAGAAGTATTTTCAAAAATTTCCAAAATGTTTATCACCTTCAAGTCTATATATGCATAGGAGGCTTAAGGAAAATATATTGGCCCTGCATATTCTTTTCCTGCTCTTGGCCTTTAAAAAAAGGATTATTTTTAGTGTCCGCACTTTTTGCAAATTAATGCTCAAACTCTTTTTTGGCCTGCCTTATTGTGCTTTCACATTTAACCTGCCAAATTTTGTGATCCTTTATAATTTACTCATTTGAACACAACTTTAACTTATCAAAAGATTCCTCCTTTTTTGTAACAGCTGTCCTTTTCATTCCTGTCTAGACATACTGGCTTCCTTTTGCCATTTCTCATCTGCTATGTCTCAAATTGGTGTCCTTACATAGCTTTCTATCTACCTGAAAAACTCTAACTCATGTAGGTTTTAGCGCTATTCTAACCTTTTTAATCCTTTTTAGCAAGTTTTCTCTTCTTTTAGTGTATGTTTAAGTTATTTCTTGGTTCTGATAGTCAGAACCAAGTCATCTATACTAACTTCTTAATATTATATATTATTTTATTCTTTAAAAAAATCATAAGAATCCTAATTTTATATTGGCCTATAAAGCCTAATGAAAAGAAAGAAAAAACTTTGCTAGAGTGCCTGTGAGGTTTTTTTTTGTCAGAACTTGGAAGTGCTGTGTAAGTAAAAGCTTATTTCTGGTTGTTAGCCATAGCCCAACATACATATATGTTCTGCTATATATAACATGCTATATGTTATATATAGCATATATGTTAAATATAACATGTTAAATACAATACATAATACATAAATACTATATTATATAGTATGTATAATTTTATATATACACAATAATATATACACACAATATATATAATATATTGTGTATGCTATATATTATATATACTATTTATAATACATGATACATTATAATGTATTTTCTGTATTTATTTGTAGGACTGGCTATACAAACTCCATTACCTATGTTTTTTATTGTGGAGTTTGTTGAGATTCCAATGTCCATTCTTGAAAGGAGGCTATATATAGATACACCCCCCTGCACAGAGGGAACAGAATAACACTGCACTGTAGAGTAATACTGAAGCTTCTCTGAGAATGCTGCTTCAGCTCTGACTAGCAAATCCTGTCATGCCCTGCTACCTTCGGTTTGCCATGCCTTATCAGAATGAGCCAGAAGACATTAACCTACCACCTTGCTTCTTACAAAGCTGTCCTACACAGCTTTTCTCACGTTTGACTCAATCTCTGACACAAGAAGCTCTTCTTTCTGTAGGTGAGATTGTCTGAATTGTTCTCCTAGTCATCAACACTGAGATGAAATAAGGATTTCTTCTTAGATAGCAAAGTATGTCATCCCTTTTCCAGATCAGGAAACGGGATCCATGGGATCTGTTTCCTGGAACACAGACAGGCATCTTGGGTAGCTAGACCAGGTAAGTGGCTTAAGAGGATATGTGGACTAGGTTTAAGAAAGAACTCTCATTAACTTTGCAGACCACCTGTGGTGCACAGAATGCATAAACCTCTGCCTAGGTAGTCTTCTGATGAAATGGGGTAACTGGAGGAACCAACTACTCATTTTAAAAGTTAGAAGGACAAATAAATCCTCACAATTTAATGCAGAGGGCAAAATAACTTCCCCCAGTACTTCCACTACTAGCAGACAAAACTGCATATGTGAAATTCGGTAATTATCAGAGCAATTGGCCTGAACTGAGACCTCTGGGAGGATGGATAAGGTGCTACATATGCCTGATGTAATTTTCTTAAAACTAGCCAAGGCAGCTAGCTCTACAAGAGCTGATGTTGCACTGATTGTGGAGGAGGCGCATACCCTCACTGCCTTTAACACATATATGATTGGTTTATGTTTCAGTACAAGCATAATAACAACTTCCATGATCTATGCATATTACTTTAGTCATAAATAAAATAATCATGTGCTTTTGAGGGTCTTAAGCCAATTTTTGAAAGGGTACCTTTATTTGCCAAGCCTTGGAAAGTACCTTTTCCTCAAATTGCTCATGTGCAAAAATGTAAATGATGGCCTACAGGTGCACTTCTGTCAAGAATTACATAGGGTTATTTCAAAATCTTTTCAATACAAAATGTTCTGTGTGTTGGACTTAGTGATGTTTCCCTAACAACAGACTAATAGATAAATAGCAATGTGACATCTGAATATAGTGTCCTTTTGCTGTAGTGATGATTTGGGCTTTCACGACTGAAAAAGAATCTCAGCAATCAGACTAATTGCTCTTTAAGGGGCCATTGCCCCATTCAGATAAAACAAAGGGAGGTGGATGACAACTGAAGGAAAGTTTATGACCAGCAACCTATATTTGTCAGGACTGAACCTGTTTTTCGACTGAGTCATGAAAATGCCCCCGCCCAGAACCAAAACTGAAGTGTTAAAATTCCTCCCGGTCAGGAGGAGACGGAAACCCAGCTCTCTGTGAGCGTACCAGAGTGCTTCGGCCTCTGAGCAGCCCCTGTGAGCTCATGCCCTTTCCTCGCCTGGGCTAGAGGCTGCTCCCCGCGGGGCGGCCCGGCCCGGCCCGGCCCGGCCCGGC